CACATAAACTGTGGTGGTGATGAGCTAAAAATCAATAAGACCAAGTATGATGCTGATGCATTGGAAACAGCAGGCTTCTATGATAGTAGAAACGGTTGGGTTTCTAGCAACACTGGGAACTTCATGGATGATAATCGGTCTCCCAAAGGATTTATTTGGCAAAATACATTGGAGCTTGAGATAGCAGATCCTAGTCTTTACACACAGGCCCGTCTCTCAGCCATTTCCCTCACTTACTATGCCTTGTGCCTTGGAGAAGGAAACTACACGGTTAATCTTCATTTCGCTGAGATTATGTTTATGTTCAGCGACTACACCACTTACATCAGTTTGGGAAGACGATTCTTTGACATATACGTTCAGGTAACTTAGGGAGAAATATCATTAGTAACACTTTTTAGTTTTTGTGTTTCAAAAAAAAAATGTTTTTGTCAGAAAAACATAGCATTCAAAGAAAAATTCTCAAAAATAACAACATTTATTAAACAATAAAAGCACTAAACTAGTCTACATCCTAAAAAAAAAAAGTCTACATCCTAAACTGGAACCCTAATCACTAAGCTTAAACTCAAATATAAATATATTTATTTCTACTGTTCTTTTGTGATTTTTTTCTAATTATGTGCTACTTTTTGAATAAAAATTTGAGATAGTGTTATTCGAGAATATTTCTTGTACTTAAACTCTAAAAATGTTTGAAAAGATTGTAGTGATGAAAATCATTTTGGCTTGTATGCAGGGTAAACGTGTGGCTAAAGATTTCGATATTGTAACTGAGGCAAAAGGTGCTGGAAGAGCTGTGGTTAAGAGTTTCCCGGTTACGATTACAAATAGAAAGCTGGAAATAAGATTGTTATGGGCTGGTAAAGGAACTCAAGTTATTCCTGAAAGAGGTTCATATGGTTCTCTCATATCAGCTGTATCGGTAGATCCAAGTAAGCTTTACTAAACTCTACTTGATTGTTTTCTTTATTGTTGTTGTTGTTGTCTCTTGAATTTATCTCACATGATATTGCTATAGATTTCACTCCACCAAAGGAAGCTGGCACTGGAACTGGTGGTGGAACCTCTATTGGGGCCGTGGTTGGTGGTGTAGTCGCTTCAACAGTGTTTCTTTTGCTTTTAATTGGCGGTATTTTTTGGTGGAGAGGTTGCTTAATACCTAAGAGTCAGATGGAGGAAGGTAGCCTTTAACAATCCATTTGATTGTTAAAAGTTTTTGTTTCTTTCTCAACCTAAGTGTGTTTCTTCTTCACCTTCAGATTTCAAGAACTTGGATTTCCAGATAAGTTCCTTCTCCTTGAGGCAAATCAAAGTTGCTACAGACAACTTTGATGCTGCAAACAAGATCGGAGAAGGTGGCTTTGGTCCTGTACACAAGGGAGAGTTGAGTGATGGAACCGTCATCGCGGTGAAGCAGCTATCAGCGAAATCAAAACAAGGCAATAGAGAGTTCTTGAACGAGATTGCTATGATCTCTGCTGTACAAGATCCACATTTGGTTAAACTATATGGATGTTGTGTTGAAGGTGACCAGCTCTTGCTAGTCTACGAGTACTTAGAAAACAACAGTCTCGCTCGAGCACTTTTTGGTTAGCCCATCCTTTCTGAATACATATTTAGCTTAAAACGTTATGTATCCAACATTAACTTTATGTATCTCTTTCTAAAGGTCCTCTAGAGACTCAAATACGGCTAGATTGGCCAACGAGGCAGAGGATTTGCGTTGGTATAGCAAGAGGATTAGCTTATCTCCACGAGCAATCAAGGCTCAAGATTGTACACAGAGATATCAAAGCAACTAATGTCTTGCTGGACAAGGAACTAAATGCAAAGATTTCGGATTTCGGTCTTGCTAAGCTTGATGAAGAAGAAAACACACACATGAGCACACGCGTCGCTGGAACATAGTGAGTTTATCACAAACAAGCAGTTTCAGCTATGTTTAGGTTTTTTGTAACCTAAGAACAATTTTTGCAGCGGATACATGGCTCCTGAATATGCCATGAGAGGTCACTTGACTGATAAAGCAGACGTCTACAGTTTCGGCGTTGTGGCTCTTGAAATTGTTCACGGAAGAAGCAACACAAGCGCACGATCCAAAGGCGACGATACCTTCTTCCTTCTTGATTGGGTAAGTTGTTATTTTTCACCTCTAAAACTAGAAACCTAAATTCCAAACTCTAATCAGCTCGGCCCTAGCTGGGATTGCTTCAGCCCAGTGGCAGAAGCATGATAATTTCTCACCAGAGTCAATTTGATAATAACTACAATTTACAAGGGTCAATAATTTAGGTTCTCTAACATTTCAGCAAATTTTAGAAGGAAAATACTAGTAAGTTTTTTTTTCCATATGGGGCATTTGACAATTCTAGTTACATGCTGGCTCACTGCTTCCGCCATTTATTTTATTAAGTATTTTATCGACCACAAATATGTAGGAAAGTGGCTTTAATGTTAAGGTAGGCCTAGACATAAAATCCGGAATCATAAATCCAAATCGAACCAAACAGAAAAAATATCCGAATGGATCTTATATAATGATATAAAAACTATTCGAACCTGAAGTATTATTAACCAAATCCGAACGGTTAATCCAAAATATCCAAATTAATAGTCAATATAAATATTTTAAATATATATAAGTATTTCAAATATTGAATTCAATATTTATTTTGATATGATACATATATTAAATATTAGAATACAAATAAATACCTTAAATATCTAATTAATTAGTCATAAATAAGTACTTTATAAATTAGTCATGATTGATTAAATTTTTATTTTGTTCAGTATTATGTGTGTAGGATTAATTTCCACTTAGTTTAAGTGTTTTTTAATGTTTTGATTTAAAATTTTGTTTTTTACTTCGGATAAATATAACTCGAATCTGAATGCTATATAGTTATTTTATGGGTTTTATTATGCAATACAAACTTGAACCGAACCCGAAATGTTATTATCCGAATTCAATCCGTACTAATAAAATATTAGAATAGGATCTATTAGTGTAAACCCAAAAACTTGAAAATCCAAAATACCTGAACGCCTAGGCCAGCTATCCAACCACATAAAATATTTTTTACCTTCGCTTATAATAAACCTAGGACCTGCTCTGATTCTAATCATGAACGTGAATCTCATTTTCTTTCACAGGTATACGTTCTAAGGGAGCAAAACAAACTGATGGACGTAGTAGACCCGAGACTTGGAACAGACTACAACAGAGAAGAAGCAATGACGATGATCAATATAGGGATCCTCTGCACAAGTCAAGTTCCGTCGGACAGACCTTCGATGTCTACAGTGGTTAGCATGCTCGAAGGAAGTTCCACGGTGGATGTTGAGAAGCTTCTTGAAGTTTTGTTCAGTAGAGGAAATGAGAAAGATGAAGAGAATGTGAGGGTGATGAAGAAGCATTATGCGATTATTAGTGGAGAAGAGATGACGAGTATTACGGATTAGAGTATAAACACCTATGGACCATTCACGCCGTCTTCTACGTCCACTGCCAACGCCAGCGACCTTTACCCTCTTAAGCCTGATTCTGAGAGTTTAAGTATGTATTATGCTTTTGCAAAAACAAAAGAACTTTGTTAAATAACTATTTCTTTTTTTGGTTTTTCAACTATAAGTATTTAAGACAATTAGAAGATTAGGTTTCTTTAAAACAAAATATTTCATGAAGTAATGCGAGTGGATACTTGTACAAAGTTAAATTGAAATTTCTGAATATAAACGATATGTGGTTTGTAAAATTTTAAACAAAGTTAAAATTAAACTTCACTCTGCTTATTGCGACGCCAGAGATTAATCATGGACTAGAATGGTAATTTATCTCCCTGATGTCTAAGTCATATGCTTGCTGTGTTCCTTATCTTGTGTTGATTTTTTAATGATGAACATGGGTTGTAATATTTATTCATGATTTATGAGTATGATTACACTTGAATTATTTGTTTTTGACTTTCTAATTTTCCTATAATTTGTTTTGGCATTGCTGTATTGGTCAACTATCCTTTCAATAATTTCAATACGTTTCATGTAACATTTAATAAGAATAATATTCTTTGAGAAGAAAATACTAAAATTGTTTTGCTTAATGGGTAACCATAACGACTGATTTGGATTGAACAAGTAAAGACAGATTATGCTGTTGTTCTTTCAACATCTGTTTCTATTGACAAAATGGTTGGCGTGTATTTGTTTAGTATGAGCCATCTATGGTGTCGTTTAGGAAATTACTCTATACAAAATTACAACTAAACTTAATGAGATTAATTAAATATCAATTTATAGGTCCACAAGTTTTGTAAGAACTAAGAAGTAAACCTTTTACAGTTTTAAACAAACCACAGCTAACGTCTTCACAATTTATCTATTGTGCGAACAAACCGTTTATTTCATGGAAAGATAGTTTAGGCATGATCGCCAAGTAAATTGTAGGAATAAATATTTCAATAAATTCATACCATCCATCAGTTACAACAATAAATAAATAAACAAAATCATATCATTAAACTTATTGACCATGTTACTAAAATTACAAAAAAAAAATATTTTAAATAATCTTTATCAGCAAATCACATCATTAAATAATAAACACACAAAAAATGTTTTTTTTTTGAGAAAGACACAAAAAGAAATGTTAAGATTTCATTTTCCAATAATAAATAAATAAAAAGGCATATCCTTAAACTTATTGACCATATTACTAAAATTACAAAAAAAAATCAAAATGTTTTAAATAATCTTTATTAGCAAATCACATCATTAAATAATACACAAAAAAAAGAAATGCTGAGATTTGATTTAAAAGTTTATTACCAAAGCAAATATAACAATAATTATAGTTCATATATATATGACTCATAATAGCCAATAATCTTTATAAAAAAAATCCAATAATTTATTTTTGATATGACAAAATTATATACACATGACATATATATATAGATGCGTGGGTGTATAAAAACCAAGATGCGTATTTGAATATTTCTCTCTCTCCTTAGTGCTGAAATGGGTTCTACAGATAACGCAATTTCTTATGCCTCTGCATTAGTGTTAGCCCTGTTTCTTCTTCCTCTTCTTCATGAAGCAGAAGGCTGTGATATGTTCACGGGACGATGGGTGGAGGACGCTTCCTACCCACTCTACGATCCCTCCACATGTCCTTTCATACGACGTGAGTTCGCTTGCAAGAGAAATGGACGGCCGGATCTTAGTTACCCTACCTTCAGATGGCAACCTAAGGGATGCAAATTAGCAAGGTATCATCAATTACTCCATATTATTTTTAGTTTTTCAGTTTGTAAGTTATTTTGATATGTTTCTAGATAAATTAAATCAAGGTATCGTTACGAATATAAACACGCACCGGTTACAAAATAATATATAAAACACGCACCGCCAGCTAATTACTTATTCTAGCTTTGATTCAAGTTTTCTTTTAATATATTCGTCAGTTTTTATCTGTTGAAATGATGTTACATTAATGAGATGAATGAGCAAGAAAAAGTATATGCATTTATAAAATTGTCGGTTCAATTTTTTTTTCTTAAAGATAATAGTTCAATAGCGTGTAGAAATCTTGATTTAATTCATATACTTTACAAGAAAATAGAAAGTATATTACTATCTTTATTGAAAAGCACTTTTATGTGAGCAGCCAATGGTTAAAGAGAATGCTGGTTATATATTTGTTTTACCATAATTGAATTGCTATGTTTGTTGGAATCTCTAAACTGCACGAGACGTAAACGAACTCTTTTGTCACAATATGCCAACTGGTGGTTTTGTCGTGAGACACGCGCCGCCAGTGAGATTAGGACACCCATTAAACTCTTGAAGCAGACATAGATTCCCCCACACATGTGGGGACAACTAACTCAAAACTCTGGAAGACTTTGGCCTGCTGCTTTTTTTTTAACCGTTAATATATCATGTCACTGCCTTCACACGCCACCGCTTTTTTTTTATTTGTGTAGGTTCAATGGAGTGAAGTTTTTGGAGAAAAACAAAGGGAAGAAGATAATGTTTGTTGGTGATTCTCTTAGCCTAAATCAATGGCAATCTTTGACATGTATGCTTCACTCTTCTGTTCCCAATTCTCCCTATAACATAACCACACAAGGCTCTATCACAACCTTCAGGTTCCAGGTATAACAAGTTTTAGGTTAGGTAAAATGTCTCTCCAATCGAAAACCGGGATGAGTTAAACCGAACTAAACCAGAAATTGTTAATGTTTTCAGGAGTATGGAGTGGAGTTGAAGCTGGATAGGAATGTGTATCTGGTAGATATAGTGAGGGAGAAGATTGGGAGAGTGTTGAAGCTTGATTCGATCAATGACGGACATAATTGGTCAGAAATGGATACATTGATTTTCAATACTTGGCATTGGTGGAACCGTAGAGGACCTTCACAACCGTACGTTTAAATGTTCTTCAATCAACTAACTATTCAATTTCATAACAAGATAATGTTCAAAATTTTGAATTCTTTTTGGCAGATGGGATTATATCCAAGTAGGAAGTAAAGTTACAAAGGACATGGACCGTGTGGCAGCATTCGAAACTGCACTAGGGACTTGGGGCAAATGGGTTGATACTGTTGTAGATACTCAGAAAACTAAAGTCTTCTTTCAAGGAATTTCACCATCTCATTACAAGTAAGTTGCTATACATTTTTACGTATAGATATGATTTTTTTTTTTTTTTTTGAACAAAGTATAGATCAATATGATATTTTTGAAACTTTAAACGTTTATTTATTTTGTTTATTAGAGGGGCTTTATGGGGTGAACCAAGGGCAAAGAGTTGCGCAAAACAGAAGGAACCACTTTTGGGGACAAGTTATCCAGGAGGATTGCCAGCTGAAGTTGGAGTTTTGAAGAGAGCACTTCGGAAAATATCGAAACCGGTGACTTTGCTAGACATTACAATGCTTTCATTGCTTCGCAAAGATGGTCATCCTTCGATATACGGTCTAGGAGGCCGAACCGGCAATGACTGCAGCCATTGGTGTCTCTCTGGGGTACCGGATACTTGGAATGAGATTCTTTATAACTATATGGCGTAGTAATTAATAAACATTTTAAACATAGACAGAAAAAAAAATATAGCATATTTGTCATTATGAATTTATGTTTGATTCTTCATTTGAATCTGAATAAGAAAGGTATTTTTGATAGGCTTTGTAGGCCTCAATAAATCAAATTGATAAAGGATTAACCAAAAATATGCATAGGAGTGAAAATATGAAAATGTGCTTAATCAACGAACCTGGTTTCCAAAGAACCCAAATCACTGATGAACAGAAATACTATAAGAAAAATCAAAGAAAAGAAAGGTTACTAGAACGAGCAGCTTGAGCTTGAAGTGGGAAGCTGATGCAGATAAATATTTAGAATATTTCTAAATATTTATTATTTATTTTAGAAGTTATTCACTACAAGAAAACAAAGCATTTACTAGGAAATTTTACTAGGAAAATTCTTCCTCGTAAATTTACTAAGCATTTACTAGGATCTTACGAGGAAAGCAAATTTCCTCGTAAGCTCCTCGAAAACTTACGAGGAAACACTTTCCTCGTAAGACCTTAGTAAATTTACGAGGAGCTTACGAGGAAAAAGTACTTTTCCTC